ACGAAATATTTAATGCTGCCACAAAGAGTTAATACTAATTTAATGAAGTAATAATTAAATTAGAATTTTCATGAAACTTAAGATTATATTATTAGCCAAAACTATAAATCTTGGATGTTAATCGATTGGATTTTTGAGAATGGTATATCCAGTACAGAATGGGCAAACATCTATAAGTGGGAAGTTAAATTTTTAACGCTGGTAAAGAGGCTCTAGTATCAGAATATAATCCATATAGGGTCAGGATATCAGACTCTTAAACCACTTTCTGAAAGATTTTATGATTCAAAAATATTTCACACTCAGAAAAACTTTAACACTATAATTTTCCGTATTCTACAATTGCTCAACTATTTTTTGTCTAGAATATGATTACGTGGTTCAAACAAACCACAACTACTAGTTCAAGTTATTTATTTAGTGTTTCTATTATTAAGGTTATTTTCTATTTTATGTAGATACTAAAATATTTTAATAATTTCCTCTAAGATTACATTTTTGTAAATACTTGGCATATATTGATGCGCTGTACTTGCATTAATTTACATACTCACTATCACTTGAGGTTTTTTCCAGTACTTTTTTCTCAGGTAATCCACAGCCGGTTGATACATTAGAATGCTCCGCTCGACAAGCCCGTTCAGATACGTCTGGCGATGGACGTGCTCGATATGGTGATGATCATGATTTTTATCGACGACTTTAAACTCTAAGTTTTCATAGACGTTTTTAATTATAGTGGAGTCTAAATTCTGTAATGGGGATCATAACGTATTTTCAAATAGTTTAAACAATCTCCATTACTGTAGATCAAGAATTTTAGTGAACGGTTAAAAATTAAGTCAAAATAATTTTTGTTTTATTAATGAATTTATTCTTAATCTTTGTAGTCGTGTTTTTGTTCACTGTACAATTTCAAATAATTTCTCATTCAACTTCTTCCATTCACATCAGATTTTGACAACTTCAAAAACCTAAATCTTCATGAGCAAATATTAATGTAGGATGTGAAAATTCTGTAATTGATGCTAAATTCTTTTCAGATAATTTAATAATTTGTTATTAGGATACGGCCATTAAAGTATTGTGCTTAATTTTTTTTCATGAGTTGTTATGTTCAATCGTTTCTATTCATTTTTTGGTGGGTATGATTATATACATTTCATAGTACTAATATAATTATATTCATTATAAAGTGCTCTTGCTTTTTATGAGGTAGATTTAATTGCACACGTTTACCATAGACGCGTTATATCCTGATAGTTTATTATTTTTGAGGATTTATGTTTTTAACCCAAACCCAAACTGAAGAGTTCGAAGATATTCTCAGGATAGAATATTGTAAACCTAACAGTAATGTATTGTTAGGCGCCGAACATAATAAAAATTCCAGTTATCTTCAACGCTTTCTGCTCATCTGCCAACCCAGGCTTGCTAGTGAATGTATCGTTACTCCTTTTTTGGTACATTTTTAACTGATTAGATACATTCAGTTAGAATTGAATGTACTTTCTCTGTCATGGGCACTTTGTTATAAATATACCAATACGTTTCAATGTATGTTATATTTTGGCGTTCTCTCTTTTCTTTATGCATCACTCGTGTACAACCCCAAATGTGTATTTTTGGAGAATGGCATTTTAAAATTTGAAGTCCTTGTAAAATTACCGAAGTGAAAAAAGTATGTTAATATTGTGTTTCATTGTATTTTAGTGAGTAATTGGGACTGAATATAAATGTTTATTTTGTGAATATATTTAAAAAGTTCAGGAATTTTGTAGTGGCGGTGGAGGGAATACATGTTCGTTCAAAGTGGCTCCCTTAACCCCGAAGCTCGGGGATTAAACTAGGCAGGCACGGGGACACGATTAAAGCTGGCAAAGTCGCCTGTCGACACAAAATGTAAATACTTGTAAATACGAGTACTACATCCACTGAACTAAACAAATTTTAACGAAATATATTAGTTTTAACAAATAAAAAACAAAAAATAATACAATATAGAAAGAAATTGCACTTTCATCAAAAATATACTTTCGTCAGCCGGACAATGCCGAATGAAGATGTTAAGTCCCGAAATGCACGGTCCAAGGGATAATAGTCGATCTTCGTTACTGAGATAATCATGCAATTGATGGCTGTTGAATATTCCAATTTGCTTGATTCGTGCAAGATTGAGTGCATTATTTTAAATAGGCTTTCTAGAGTTTCATGGCTATATCATTAAACTCTCATCTTGTAAATACTCGAAGAAGCAGTTATCCTCGTGGTAGTTACTCTGAAGTAGCCAGTCGTGGCAGCAATATCCAGCTTGGCGTTTTCTGGCTTCCAATGTCGCTATCTCTATGCTGATCTTCTGGGATGATAAAACCAGATGCTTTTTTCTGAGAGTTTTGTGTATTATAAATATTTTAGAGAACGTGTAAGGTATGTTTTGACGATGATCCATAAGGAGAAATCTCTCCTGAAAAAAGTAATTTTTGTAATTTCAAATCTCTAATAATTTAAAGCACATTATAGGAATTATCACAAAATCTCAAAGTATATCCGCAAGTACTGAATTGGTTGCAATTTTATGTTTAAAATCATCAAAATTTTTGATATTATGCATGAATATTTTTTTAACATATTATTGATATAATAAAATGCATTTCGTTTCTATTCCTTCTTGTTACTCATCTTGAGTTTCTTTTTTGAATGAGACGAATATTACAAACATACTGAGTAAAAATGACTTTTGATTCTTTGCGTAAACGTTGAATGATAGGGAAACCGCGTTGAAGATTGTCCCATGAATCGAAAATATCTGTAAGTTCCACAATAGAGGGAAGTTACGTTTGCAGCAGCTTAGACAGAGCGGTCAATAGTTCTTTTGTGTAACAGCGGTTCAAAGACTATAAGCAAATTAGAATATAATACAAATATTTAAACTTATAATTTGAGTTAGTTTCCATACATTTTATAACTTTTTAACATAAGACTTAACAGAAAGTTAGAATGTATATCAATATTTAAACTCCATAATTAGGTATACGTTCAAACGTTTTATAAATTTATAACAAAATTGAAAGTAGTGCATAAATTAATTTAGGTGTTTAGTGTCATGGATCAGTATTTAACACAGTTTTTAATTTCTACAAATATTCTGGTGCTGGTTTTCTATCCTGAACATTGGCTGAAGGTCATGAACCACCGACGATCATAATCTGAAAATTCCTTATTTATTTAATTATTTATCATCAGATCACAAAATATTGTTGTAAATCGATATACATTTCCCAGCTTTTTCGCAGTTTAAATCACTAGATTTTAACAACCTAGCCGACTTAACTGGCAGTTTACCATAGTTTTTCCTCGATGTGCAACCTAATGTGCATTTTTATTTATCGTATTTATCTCCTCGTAAAATTTTTTTTCGCGAGTGACGTTAATCTGAAGCAAAAGTCAACCTATACTAGTAGGGTCTCCAATAAGTCGTCTGAAGTTGAGACGTACTGTGATGATTGATGGCGAAGGATTCATATAAGGTGGATGTTGAGGCGATGTTAATAGCACAGGATAGATAAGAACGGGGGATGTGATATAGGCAAATTTGAGAGAACTCCGGAGAAAACTTACGCACCGTAATAAGCAAAAATTCACTTCGATTTGAACGGGGATCGATACCCGTCACCAGAGTGGAGCAGGTATTCGCTAGACGGTGGGTCACCCTAGCAAAAGTAAACTGTGAAAGAATAATTCATTCCGCCTATTCACACAATTTCCTTCGACAATGCAACGTACTCATTACATACTTTTCTTGGTAGCAGGTTACTATCAGATCCACAAAAGCATGTAATTAGATAACTGGATAGCTAGAAAGTTTATTTTAAAATTCGCCGTCAATCTTCACTTTGTTTCTTTATATCTTATTTTAACATGTCATTAATTCTAAAGCAGCGGTGGGCATCGTTGACCTAAATGACCGATGTTGCATAGTTTTGTTATTTGCTGTACTTCTGTGGTACGAAAAGTTTATCAAGTAAAGTGTGGTCGAAATATATATACAATTTTAGGTAGGAGCAATTGCTTATATCCAACTGGAATTTAGATACGAAAATGATCGATTTTAGGCACATAAAAATAGCCAACTTATTTACGTAACAAAATTATGATTGCACATTGCATGAAAAGTGAGCGTTTTCAGCTTAAAACAGAACAAATGATTAAATCGGCATTTAAAATGTTAAGACATGAAAAGGTGTTTCTGATATATTTAAGAATGTATTATGTTATGTGTGATATTGCAGTTATGTGAATGTATACGTTCGTTCAACATCATGATGAGAGTCATACGAACCTCGAAATATTCTGTAATAAATTTATCAATTTTGTAAAAATGAATATGTATTCAAGATGAAACGTTTAAAATGTGGTGGACTATACTATGAATGAAGTATTCATCTTTAACGTATCATTTTAATTACTACGAGTCAGACTTTTTAAATTGATCCACAAGAAATTTGAAGCATTTGAGATAGACTAAATACATGTTTTTTGCTTCAGACATTGACCAAAAATTTAATTCTAAATCGTTGGAGGTAAAAGCG